GGATACCTACGAGTTCCTCCCCCACTCTCCCCCCTCTCTCTCTCTCTCTCTCTCTCTACTTTCCTTTTTCTTCTTCGCAACTACTACTTTCTACCGCTACTCCCTCGCGCACGAGCGTGCCCGGGAATACCAATCGAAGCGCGGCACGAAAGTCCTGCCACAACTCGAAAGTCCATACCGTGGAATGAATTCTTTTGCACTTTATTCCACCGAGAGAGAAATGGAGAGAGGGAGAGAGAGAGAAAGAGAGAGAGTGTGAAGAAGCGCCGATGACAGTTTAATCGAAGTACGTCACGCGAAAGTGAGATTGAAGGAGACACCATGGATTCTCGACAATTAAGTGTGCAGGGATCAGTTCGTCTCTAATCGAGATTCGAATAACAGCGAGGATGGAATACCAACAGCTGTCCGATTTTGCGTTCAAGGAGAACTGCCAGTCGGCAGGTAACTACGTGAACGAATAGGCAACTCGTTAATGCACAAAGCCGCTTGAAACCAGTCGCGAGGCTACGCGGTAACAAAATTTTAATCAAGAGCCGCCGACGCCGCCACGTCCTCGTTCGGGCAAAGCTCTTCGGCAGGACATACGTGACCGTCGTCCCGACGAAACAAAACAAACGGAATTGACCCCCGCCGGAGCGGGGATCTTGCGCGGCTGTTCTGACTCGGCGTGTCACAATCAGAGTGCGACTCGACGAGGGAAGATCAAAGCGGCTCACGAGCGTGCAATGTGTGCACGTTGCTGGATCAGCGAGTGCGCCGAGTCCCGCGTATGTGACTAACATAATCAAGCCACACGAGACGTCAGAGTAAACTCGAACGAGCGTTATAACTTCGTGACTCGTCGCGATCTCGCTTACACGCGGCGCGAAAAATAATACGGCGAAACGGTAATGATTGCCTCGTGAAAATTATCTTAACGAAATTAATCTTAAAAAGGCACATCGGATCGACGACGAAATTCGTTGGGGGAGAAAAAAAAATAGAAAATATCTGGCGCAACAAATTCGGATGAGAAAATTTCCGACACTATTGCGTATGTATAATGTATATGTACACTTTCAAAGTGCGAATTTATATGATGCTGCTACATCGTTGTTTCATAGTGATGGACGTCACAAAGGATGACGATTTAAACCATCAATTTCGTGATTTACGTCAATCAGTTGTCGACACGCAGTTGATACCGCAATATTTAGCGCCGGGGAGGAGAGAGCAGAGGGCAACGATCCGATTCATGTGGTGGAGTTTAGTATATGACCCGTATTTGTATCTCTGTTCGCGAGCATAATGATTAGACCATCACGGTTGAATAACAAGCTATTCCAAACGGCAATAACGAAGGGACGGCATAACCGACCGATTTTAGTGCTCTTCCACTGTAGCGCCCGCTGTATTGACCGACGCTTTGACTGTACTCCACTTTTGTAATAGTAAAGCGTTATTGATTGCAATCGGCTATGCTGTATTGCGATAGTCGTAAAAATATTATGGCTCATAGAATACTCATCGTCGATAATGTAACGTTCATGCACTATTTATTATACAGTCGCTTCACGCTGCCACGCGCCCGGAATAGACTAGAAATTTATCATGTTTTAGTAATTATCTCTTGAAAACGTTTAGTCGGAGTTCATTTAGTAACGCAAACACGGCATCAGATTAACAATTTGGTAGTAAAGCTGTGGAGTTTTTTTTTTTTAATAACACTGTGTTACAAATTTTAATCAATTTCTTGCACTTTTGTCATAAAGGGTCGTTCTTTAGTAAATAAAACGCGCTGAACACGAATCTGGCCTCAAAAACTATCAGATTTCCGAGAAAATAAGGCTTTAAACCGTCGAAAAATGCGTTCACTAAAGAACGAACTTTCATGACAAAAGTGCAAAACCCTGCAACATAGTAATTGAAAATAAAAGAGATTTAAATTAGAATTTTTGGACTAATTTAACGCTAGAAAAACTTCGATTAATTATATATCAAAATAATGCATCCACCATCGTTGTCACTAAATACAATCGAAAACATTGTGATTCGCGGCGCATTGTGATTGCAGACTGGAAGCTTCGCGAATGATTGCGATCGAGCTCGCCCCGCTTCCACACGAGTGTCTTTGCGAGTGCTCGCAACCACGTTTGGCCGGTCGACCCTAATTCGGCAGCGTACAGAGACCGTGGGCAGAAGCATGGAAAACGAGGCAAGTTTCGTCGACAACCCACGGAGAATGTACCCTACAAAGCGGCAAGAGTGGGAAAGGGCGGGCGAGGGGCGAGGGGGGGGGAGGGAAGGAGGG